CTTCTGAGCCCTCTGAGTTGTCTATACAACAGAACGCTCAGGGCTTGGCTCGCTATGCCATTATCTGTCAGGAGAATGGGTTGGTTCCTATTGTAGAGCCTGAAATCCTCACTGATGGTACTCATGATATCAAGAAGTGTGCCGCTGCTACTGAGATTGTGCTGGCTGCGGTTTACAAGGCTCTGAGTGACCACCATGTGCTTCTTGAAGGGACCCTCCTCAAGCCCAATATGGTCACCCCTGGCTCCGCTAGCCCAAAGGTCATAATACTTCTCTCTACCTTGTTCATCTTGAATATTCAAACACACTTATATCTTGAATTAAAGATGATGATGTTATGCAAAAATAGGTAGCTCCAGAGGTAGTGGCAGAATACACAGTAGCTGCACTTCTTCGGACCGTCCCAGCCGCCGTCCCGGGGATCGTGTTCCTGTCGGGAGGACAAAGCGAAGAAGAGGCCACACTGAACCTCAATGCCATTAACAAATTGCAAGTGTTGAAGCCATGGACCCTTTCCTTCTCATTTGGGCGAGCACTGCAGCAAAGTACGCTGAAGATATGGAGTGGGAAGAAGGAGAACGTTGGGAAAGCTCAAGAAGCGTTCTTGGTTAGGTGCAAGGCGAACTCGGAGGCCACTCTGGGGAAGTACGGCGGTGGGAGCGGCAACGGGTTGGCCTCGGAGAGCCTGTACGAAGCTGGGTACAAATACTAAAGTAACTTTAACTGTGTGTACAATAATATACTGCCCCTGCCCACCCCTGCTGGATCTTCTTCTTCTTCGTCTTCTTCCCTGTTTGTGAATGCATACATCTCACAAAGCTCTGTACACCATCATATGTCTGTGCTTCCTAAGTCATTTGAAAGGCTATGCGTTACTATTTTGGTGGTGTGGTGTTACTTTTCTTATTCCAAGAACTGAGCTTTCAAGTTAATTCCATCACAAATTTTTCTGAGGATGAAACAAAATCAAAATTTCGGGAGATTTAACTAATCACTAACTACTTCATATCTAATAGAAGATACTAACAAAATATATATATATATATATATATTAATTGATTAGATTATCATCGTTAATCGGATAATCTAATCAATTTAAATAGAGGTACGAGAATTTTAAATTTTTTGTATTTTCATATTTATATTAGAAAACTTTTTTTTTATAATATTATGACTTTATTTCTTTTTTTAGAAAGACATTAATTAATTCGAATTTCTACATTTAAAAAATTAAAATTTTTATATATATAATTCAAAACTATTAATATTAGTTTATACATTTTGATATTAGTTTCTTATACTAATTTTTCTATGCACACACGCATTTATTTATATATATATATATAATATTAATATTTCACAAGGTAAAATAGCTCTATGTAAAAAAAAATAGAAATTTGATTAATTAATTAATTAATAGATATATGAGTACAAATACATACATCATTTAGTTATTTATTTATATATATATATATATATATATATATATATATATATATCTCTTTTTCGTCCAACCCAAAAACTCGTGCTACCAATTTTTAGGTTTCACTTAGTTTAATATTTTGTAAATATACGAGAGTAAACGAGGTTTACGAATATGATTATTCTTAAAATAAATAAAATAAAATATATTATAATTGAATAATTATATTAATATAAAATTTAAAGATTTTTTTTAAGAATAAAAGATTATTTTAAATAACGATTTATTTTCTTTTCTGTTGTCAAAAAAACAAAAAAATTCCTTTTATCTCCTTAAAAAGAATTTCTTCCTCCTATAAATTTTAATATTTATATTTCAGGTAAAAAAAAAAAAAAATCAAAATCAAAATCAAAATTGCAATAATCTGAAATAATTATATTATCTTAAAACTAATTTCCCCACCGATTTAAATGTCATCTCCAATTCTGATTCTCCAAAGACCCATCCCTTCTCGACTCCGTCAGTTGTGGCTCAGCGCTTCCAAAAATTTGGAAGCCATGTCGTCTTCTACGCTTCGATTGCTCACAACAGAATCCCCAATCGGTTCTAAATTCCCCAAAGCTTTAATCTCCTCTCAATCTCACAATTTCTGTTTTTTTCGATCCATTTCCTTCCAAAGGATTACCTCCAAATCGCCGTCGTCACTCTCCGTATCGGCCTCCGCCTCCTCCTCCAAGCCTCTGCAACCCGTGGAAGAACTCCCTCCTAAGCTTCAAGAAATAGTCAGGCTCTTTCAATCAGTTCAGGATTCGAGGGCCAAATATGAGCAGCTTCTGTTCTATGGCAAAAAGCTCGAACCCCTCGACCCCCAGTTCAAGAACAAGTCTAATAAGGTCGAGGGTTGCGTTTCTCAGGTCTGGGTTAGGGCTTATTTGGATTCGAATAAGAATGTTGTGTATGAGGCCGATTCGGACTCTGCTCTAACCAAGGGCCTCGCCGCTCTGCTCGTTCAAGGACTCTCTAATCGCCCTGTGGAGGAGGTTATTAGGGTTTCTCCTGATTTTGTTATTCTTCTTGGCCTTCAACAGAGCCTCACGCCTTCTAGAAATAATGGGTTTTTGAATATGTTGAAATTGATGCAGAGGAAGGCGCTTGGGTTACTTGTGGAATCAGAAAAAGGTAATGGCAGTGCGATTTCATCGTCGCAAATAGATGATGCTGTGGAAAAAGTAGAATCAGATTCCAAAACTGATGCTGAGAAACCAAATGAGGAATCGAAGTTGGGAGATAAAGGAAGTGATAACTCTAGTGTATTGGGAAGTAGAGGGAAGAGGATTAAGGAGAAACTGGAGAAAGACCTTAGTCCAGTGGAATTGAATGTGGAAGATATCTCGTACCAGCATGCAGGGCATGCTGGGGTAAGAGGCAGCGATGGAGAAACACACTTTAATTTGAAGGTTGTGTCAAAGGAGTTCGAAGGGAAAAGCTTAGTGAAAAGGCATAGGCTCATTTATAATCTGTTGCAAGAAGAGTTGCAGAGTGGACTGCACGCCTTGTCCATCTCGGCCAAGACACCTGATGAACTCTGAAGCCCCAATGGAGAAAGGTTCATCATCATAACTCACTTGAAACATGTTTTTCCTTCATTTATTTTCTGTATTCTATCTCTATTTCTATTTAGTGGATGAGGAAGAGGAACTTCTGTGATTTCTGAGGAGTGTTTATGTTATAGTTATTACAATTTGAGGCTTAGAAGTTGAAGTTTTGCTGTCATTGGTTCTGCAAACAATTCTTGTTCTATGATAGGAAAATAAGGAAAAAGGTAAAGAGAACGTTTTATAAGATGAGAATCATAACTCGTACTTCATTACATTCAGCTCCGTTCTCAACAAATTTTAGAATGAATTATTAAGCCTATCAAACAACTAGAATCATACGCCAAAGCAAAATTTTAAATCTCAACTTTGTAGCTCTTCAAATTCCTTCAAGAAAATGTAAAATTTCTGATTTTTTTTTAGAAGTTTCCAGTTTTTAGTTTAGCTCTTGAGGAATTGTCTTACAATTTTGGCTCTCAGCTACATTCTGGATCCAGTTTGATGTTTGAATATGAATTCTCCATGCTCTTTGTTCTATTGTGAAGTAAATAGTCTCTTATTCCTTCAGTTTTAGATTCAGGGAGATGCTTGATTTTAATGAACAGTTTAATAACCAAGATGATTCGGATTTGCTTGTATGCATTATTCTAAATGAAATTTATTGCCTTAACTTCTGTCAGTCAGCTTGCCTTTAAATCAACTATAGTCCATCTTGCCCTTTGTATTGGTGCATTCATAGTTTGAAGATAGAATGATCAGGATGTTATGATACTTATTATTTCAAGCCTTTCCTTATCTCATGCTTAGTTTTCTGTTCTAAATATTCATTAGAGAATGTGCTTAGTAGTGGAATCTTTGATTGGATTCATTGATAATAGATGATGGTATAGTGGAAGAATCAGTCGAGGGAACAGCTAAAAAGCTGAAAATCTAGACACTTTTATCTAGGTAGCCATAGGGCATATAAGATTCCCAGCAGCAAGTGTGGTAGAATTTCATAGTTATAAAAGAAAATAAGAAAAATTGTCAAAAAACAAAAAATAGTTCTTTTTGGCAGAGAATTCTCAAGGGAGATCTGGTTGATACTCCCACAGACCTTCCCCCTTTAGCCTTTCTCAGAGGCACAAATGGGTGTACTGTTTCTGAAGTCTATATACATTGGTTGATCCTACGTTTCACCTGTTATGCCAATTGTTAGTGAAGCACCTAAAAGGTACACATGGAAGCCATGTCTGATCTGAATTTCCTTGCATTAGAATCCAAAAAATGGTGTAAACAATGTCAAACAAGAAGAATGCTGTTGAACTGATATCTGTTCAGGCTCTTACATAGTTTTGCTTCTTCACCTCTTGGTCTTGCAACTCCAAGCAACTAAAACTCTGGTTGGTGGACTACTCATCACCAACTCGTATCGCCTAATCAACCAGTAGGAGTAATGGATGATACCCAGTGAAGCTCCAACTCTGAGAGTTCCTTTCATGTTATTGACAACTTTGCTGTTCTGTACATAAACACAACTCTCTACAATGGTATGATATTGTCCACTTTTAGCATAAACTTTTGTGACTTTGCTTTGGGCTTCCCCAAAAGGCTTCAAATCAATAGAGATAGTATTCCTTAACTATAAACCCATGATCATTTTCTAAATTAGCCGATGTGGGACTTTCATCCAACACCGGAATTCTCTGATGACTAAACCACATTGAATATCTGGAGAACAGGTTGTAACCTCCCTCTCTCTTCCTTTGGCTGAAAGGCTGGTTGTAACCTCTAATTTCATTTATAATTTCTCATTAATCAAATCCAAATCAAAATTTTCATCAACACTCGCATTTTTTATTGTATACAGGAATTTCAATATGTAACGAGAGAAAAAAAAAAAAAAAAAAAAAAA